GTTTGTATTATGAATGTTAACCCTTTGACGACCAATGGGACACATATGTCCCATTTTGTTTTTCATCTGTAATAACTACATTTTTTAACCAATTTTAGTAAAATTGGTTTCGTTTGAAAGAGAATTAATGTAGCTATCAGAAAGTACCATATTGGATATTTATTGTAAACGCAATTGGATAGAACACTCTAAAGTCAAAAAATCTTAACTTTTTTTTCAACTTTCGCCAAATGCTATATAATTTTAACGGTGGAAGTTTTAAAGCTGAAAATTTGGAATAATGTGCGAAATGTCCATTACTTTCCAAAAATCATCGACTTTATTTAGAAAAAACGTTTTTTCCACTTTTTATTGCGTTTGACGCGATGGGACATATGTGTCCCATTGATCGGTAAAGGTAAATAAATACCCCGTATTTCCCTGTATTTTGGCCATTATTCGCGAATTTTCAAACACAAAAATATCATTAAATTCGTGATTAAATGGGCACAACAAAGCACAATTCAAACCATTTTCGGTTCAAAACAATTCTGAATATTTTAAAAACGAAAAAGATTTTACATGTAGTTCTTATGGGAGACATATTTTTTTTTCCATACAAAGGTAGTTACCGTTACCGACCAATGGGACATATATGTCCCATCATTTTTTTCATATTTCTAGTTAAAAAAAATTAATTTTTGATAACATTTTTATTATGGTTTTTGGGGTCGCTGAGCACGAATCTGCAATCAGAATTGCAAAATTCCCATCCGTTCAATCTTGGTCGTCAAAGGGTTAAGGTGCGTGCAACGCCCTTCAATGTAAAAACAATACTTGAGTGGAGGATGATACACGGAATTTATCTGGACTTTTTAAAACAATTAAATTAGTACTAAACTAAATGGCTACACAGTAAACACAATGATTCTAGCAATGTTGAGATTTGACACTTAACTTTGTTTCAGTATTATTTGCTCTAGAAAAAGTTCAAAAGTTCTATAATAAATACATGAAGCTTTGATTTTTGATTTAGTACTTTTTTTGGTACAAATGGTACTCAAATGGATTTTAGTGCCAAATTTCATACTGCGGTTCTGAAAGTTAGAACCATCGTGTTTACTGTGTATACAGTCTATAGTCTGATTGTCATCCAACCGAATTTTCAATGGTGACTCAAACCGAAAAATGGATTAACCTTTATATGATCCCCAAGAAGAGTAACATTTAGACAGATTTTTACTTTACAGATGTATTTTCATAGTCCAGAAGAGTTACCGGGTTCTAATATTTGGAATAGAGGCCTAGCTTCTAGATATAAGGATTCGGCATTCATATTTCGCGTAATTCAGTTTTGGAAACAATTGAATCAGTAGTATTTCGCTACGATTTAATAAATTATGTTTTTTTTTCTCCAGACAACACAAGTTGAGAACGATGTGGATGTACGGGACTTATCAATTGAGAAACGACAATGTCGATTTCCAGACGAGCGTTGGCCTTTAAATTCATCTCTTCCTTACAGCTTCGCCACGTGTAAAATTTATACTCGAGTTCAAATGGAATTGGAGCACTGCAATTGTACACTGCCCTTTGCACCAGCCGAATGTAATAACCTTGTTCGTTAGAATGTGGAAATGGAACTCATTAAATTAAGTCAATCAATTTTATTGCTCAATTCGTTTTCATCCAACAGACGAAAGTCGGTATTGTAATGTCACACAGATGAATTGCATTGAAGAAAAACGCATCGCAGAATCGATGCTTAGTGATCGCCTGGATATGAAACCATGCCTTTCTACCTGTACGGAAATGCACATTGATCAAGTTGGGTATGAAGATTGAGCAAAACCATCAAACCACTTGAAATTATTTATGAACACACAATTTTCTATTCAAATTTATTTCATCCTTGCAGATATTATCGAAATTTTGAAGTCAATTATAATCAAAACAAAGCGATTACGGCAGTGACTATTCAAATAAACAGCCAGCCAAAGCAATTGACTCGATCAGCACGCCTCACAGACCTTGATTTAGTCATCATCATCGGTTCTATTGTCGGTCTATTTTTCGGTGCATCACTTCTCACTTTGGTCGAAATTGTTCACCTTTGGATTTTGCATCGATTCTAATTCATTTTGTATTAGTTTCTTTGGTCGCATGTTTGACAGACCAAGGCTTAGCTATGTGCAGCGTATATTGTATTGAAATTAGTGGTGAAAACAATCATAATTATTGTGCATTAGTAAATTAGTTTAAAGCACAATGTGTGTGAGTGCTTAATAAGCACTGCTTAATTAGATGCTAAAGCATGCGAGTAGAGGACATAATGCCCCGGACAGACAGCGTGCTTTTGTGTTTCTATTACATTAGAGTATGCTGTCCGCCCGGGGCGTTATGAACGCTACTCCATGCTTGAGTTGCACCTATTTTATTTTTTTTTTTGTCATTTTGATAATGTTACTTTCATTAAATTAAATTTTTATCGATTGAAAAAGGTTTTTATATGAATGTTCGTGTCTATCGTGGTCAATTTGTTTTTAACTTTTGCCTGAAGCAAAACTCCGTTAAAATGAACTCCACTTTTGAACAATGGATTTTATTGTTCGCTGATTTATGTCCATCGCATTTCCTTGTTGAGAAATATGTTTTATATAAATTGTGAATTTGTGATAAGGCTAATTGCTGTTTGTGACTAATTCATGACCATATTAGGTCATATTGAATGTTCTAGAGTAAACACAAAACTGTAAGGTAATGTTCCCTTAAACGGGACGCTCCCTTAAACGGGACAGTCAAGTATTTTTGACTTCTGAGTTTGACAGCGAGCTGTCATTTATACCAAACGATTAGCTCAACGAACGCTCACTTTTGGTAGTATTCCGAAGAGAATAGACGTACCGCGTGTGTGAGAAAAAATTGTGTCGTGAAATTTGCGTACAACAAAACTTTTTTGATCAATTCGCCTACACCCACAGTTTGAAGTGTTTTTAACATTTGTTGAAGGTAAATATATTGAATAGTTAGTAAATTGTGTCTATTTCAAAGCTGCAAAGTCCATTTTTCGATATCGCGTCACAAAATTTTTTTTTTGGTGACTCGCAAAAATGTCGGCTTTTTCCTTAAATGGGACAGCGATGTTCCCTTAAACGGGACACTCTGCATTTTTAAGTTAAGCAAGATGGGGGCAAGATGGGGCAAAATGGTCTACAGCAAATTTGTTCGTCGTGAGTCGCTCTACAACTTTCACCAACACACTTTAACGATAAATCCACCCATTGGCCCAGAAAACGGGGATAAAATTACTTTTTTGACCCGAAAATTTAATTTTTTTCTTGTACCGGTTTTTCAAACATAATGTAAATAAATGTAAATGTAATGTATACCGTTGGATAGATATTCACGAGTACTACAATTTTGACCCAAGGAGCAGTGCCCTCCCTCCCATGGCTAGGGAGATATGACCTTTGGTGTCAATACCCTGATTTTCATGGTCGCCCTTTTTTGGATACACAGTGGGGTGCGGAAAAAATTGGCATATATTTGGAACATACTCGACCCCAGCTACACCATAGAAAAATAAATCAATTTTGGCTACTGTCAATAAAGTGTAGGTGTGCCCAAATGAGCTTAACTATAAAATGAAGTCGTAGATCAAGAAAGCGACGAATAAACATCATTACTCATTACTTTTGTCACTTATTTTAATCCGAAAGTCGATTAAATGAATAAACAATAAATAAACATTTAAAATATGATCTTATTGTTTCATTTTCACGCTTATTTTTCAGTTTTTCGGAGTGTCCCATTTAAGGGGACAAAATTTTTTTTTCCGATTTTCGTCATGGTCGGAAATTTTGCGATAAATTTTTTTTTTGTAATGTAAATAAAAAACTGTCTGAGGCAAAAAGGTTCCTTTGCTCATCCTCTTTCCAACGGTATATCACATTCTCGAAAATATTTCCACTAGTCAAAGATAAAAAACCATGTCGAAGTGCGTCCCGTTTAAGGGAACATTACCTTATAAATAGCAAGTAAGAAGCTCAATAAAGTTTAGTTTATTTTATTAAACTCAACAGGTTATGGGCCCAGACCACAAGTTGAGAATAGACCTCTGGATTTAAATCTGACTCGTCTATTTCTCATAACCAAAAAAAAGTAGAAGAAAATATAGATCTCTGGACTCGTCTGTATTTTTTGTATCTAAAGTGACTGAACGCAGTTAAAGAAAAAGTAAAACATTTAATATTGAGATTTTGACTGTGGTGAAGTCAAAAGGACTAAGAATATGTTCAACATAGAGATAGATTGACATAATGCTAAAAGCTGGAGTTTGTAAGCAAAGCAGCTGTAAGAGAATCAATAGATGCATCCGGTGGAACGAAACAAACGAACTTGTTGAAGAAGTACTAGAAGAAGGTGCTGCTCAAAATGAAGAAGTATATACGTTGGAAAGGCAGTTACTTAGAAGAAGCTCATAAAGAAGCAGAAAATAAAAACTAGTACAAGAGTTGCAGATTTTACGAGAATTACAGTTAGCACGAGAATAGAAGTCAGAACGAGAGTAGCTGTGTACGAGAGAAGCTGTACGAAAGAAGCTGTACGAAAGAGGCTGTACGAGAGAAGCTGAAACAGAAATAAAAATTCAATTCGAACGTGAGAAGCTGTTTGAAGGGAAGCTTTAAAATCGATTTATGGGTCTGGACAAACGAGAGAAGTCTGTATAAATTGCTACAGTCGAGAAAAGAGACTAGAGAATCAGAAACTGCGCTCCCGAATTCTTCACCAAAGAAATAGAAGCTGCTGCTCCAGAAGAGATGGCAGATACCAAGAGCAACTTCTGTAATGAAAAGCAAGCAAAACTAACAAAAGATACACCACCAAGTTCGTCCATATCAAACGATTCGAGTAACGACTCCGATTCAACCGTTGAGTTAAACTTTGAGGAATTCAAAAGAAATGTTCCAAAGACGGAAGTAAATGAAAGAACATAAAGTAGTCAAAATCGATCCACCCTATTCACGAAATTATCAACGGTTACGTAAAATATTTAATCGAAGTCAAAAGATGAAGTAAATAATTATGAATATATGAAGAGAGTGAAAAGGATTGTGAAATCGATAAAGAATCAGCTAAACCGATTGCATGAAGCTATTTCTATCGTAGGGCAACCGCAAGCAATTAAAATATGTTATTTGTGATGTTTGTACCAAAGTGGAGTACTATATATGGCCGTAAGTAAGTAATGAACAGAAACAAGCACAAAAAAAAACGCTCTGAGAATGGCGGTAGGCGATAACCGGCATTTATTACGATGATAAGAATTCAAATGTAGCAGTTTACAAAAACAAGCGCAAAAAGTGAAAGTAAGTTAAAGTTCTGTTGAGAAAAGTCCGCATGAAAGATCGCTCAGTAAAGAAAGAGAGAATGTATGGAAGAAAAATAGTAACATTTCTCTCGAATTTCATCGCATTGCGCAATAATAAGCAAAAGAATGTTTTAGTGCAAGTAAAATGGTGGTCGTTGAATAAGAAAGAAAGAAGATACGGTCAACGGAGGCAAAACAATGTGACGTTCTACGGAAGAAAAATGCACGCAGAGGAAATAGTGAGAAGCACTAAGATTATGACAACGGATCGATTCAAATAAAAGGTTAGAGCGATTGAGAGAAAGAAGAATGAACGATCACATAAAAAAATGAGGACTGTGTGTTCTGTGAGAATTTTAACAAGATAAATGTAATAAAATCAAATGAAATAATGTTTTAGGAGAGTAAATATGGATAATGAAATTGTATACAGTTTATGCCGTTTTAGGAAATGAGAAAATAAGAAATTCAAGTAGCTTATGGGAATTAAAATATGTACAGTCAGAATTTGTGAACAAAGATAAGAAAAGTGATTCTGTGAATCGGGACAAACAAGTTATAAGCAAGCGAATGGTTATGTTATCAGCGACAGGGGTTATCAATTCGGGATGATTAATGCTATTAATAATTATATATATAATTAGATGCGTTGGGATGCGATCGCTCAGTCTTTATTGAGTACTGTTAATCAAAACAATGGTTATCATCCGAGGAGTTCTGATTCTATTAATTATACTGACCAATTATTATATAGGAATCATGTGTTCATTCATTATAACAAAATATGATGATCAAAATAAGATCGAAAAACTTCCATCATCAAAAAATTGTCCTACTAATCCAGATTTTTGTGAAATCAAGACAGAAGCACCTTTGGAGAGAAAGTGCTTTGAAATATGTCACAATTCGGGATATAATTGGTATATATGGAACATCTTTAATTGTTGTTGTTGTTATAATCGATAAACGAAATATGCAGACAATTATTTGTTGACATTATTCAAGTTCATGAAGTAAAGTTAAAATCAATGATATTGTAACGAATAAAATACATTCGGAGAGAGTGTTGGAATTAGAATTTGCATAATTTCGAGTGAATGTAATGTTGTAATGAAATTAAATGAGCTGAAAGTAGAATTCAATATAAAATTAAAACAACTGAAACAAGCCAGAAAGTGATCAAGATAGTAAAAGCCATTAAAACAGTGAGAGAAGCTGAAAGAGCTACAGAATTAATTAGGACTACACAAACTGTCTGAAACAACTTTCCACACTCACAGATTTTGATAATCCTAAATTAATGAAAACTATGGCACAAACGATTGGGACATCCCAGTTTCGAGAAGATGAAGAAGGTCAAAGACAAAATTGGTGAATTTGAAGAGCCCACGTGTAAAATAGAGAGAGAGATAGCTGTATATTTGGCAAATATACAGTAGTAAGAAAACGAGCGATAAGCGTGATGTGATGAACAAATAAAAATCACCTATGCTAAAAGAGCTGAGACCATAGACATTCGGATAAAATTCAAGTAAGAATGAATTCTCAATTTATTTAAAAAGGGAGAGTGTTGAGAAATAAGTTTTAAATAAATTGTGAATTTGTGATAAGGCTAATTGCTGTTTGTAACTAATTCATGACCATATTAGGTCACATTGAATGTTCTAGAGTAAACACAAAACTGTATAAATAGCAAGTAAGAAGCTCAATAAAGTTTAGTTTTTTTTATTAAACTCAACATTCCTGACTAAACCACGATGAATCTAGGACTATAATTTTTTTTTAATTATCCATGACCAAAAATTAACCAAGTGCCAGTACTCCCAGCCCTTGGAAAAATTAATGCACTAAGTTAAGTAAAATTCCAAAAATTTCAAGTGTACAATTAATTTTGACTTTATTTTATTTTATTTTATTTAACACCGCCAAGCTCCGGCTGAATATATTATAAAAGAATAGAGGTGTGGCCGGAAAAGAGTGCAAGACTGTTACATCAATTTTTGTTTCAGTTATTTAAGTATAAATCGAGGAATGACAATGATAATAGGTAATGTCACATTATGATTAAAATGGATAAGAATCGTTTACTTGGGCTCTAGAATTCTCGACTATGTTTGCTTAGAAAATATTTTTGTATGTTACAATATTTTAGTTATGTTTCAGGGCTACTAAATTATTTTTTTAATGTTTTAAATTGGTCGTGGGTCTTTTTCCCAACAATTATTATTTTATTTAAGAATGAATGATAATTGAGAATGTCACTATGGGTTGTATGGAGTAAAGTGGGGAATCTACATATAAAGATCCGTCGCGTAGGTTGAACCCTTTTAAAAACAACTCACGATCTTCATGTTGGCTTAAGTGGGCCAAATGAAGTAAAAATATTGCGTTCCAATTTACTGTGCATATCTCCGCCCAGGGGCCAACACAACACTATAAAATGAGTAAGGACCGTACGGGAAGAAATAAGAGAGGTGAAGCAGGAAGCATAAATGTCATTGACCCGTTGAATTAGCGGTTCAAAACAACACTTCGTTCTGTTTTATCAATTTTCACACTTTTCCATTTGTTCCCGAAGCGGCTCAATAAATCATCCATTTCGCATTGAGGATGTAAGCAGAAACCAAAGCTTTTCAATAATGGCAGCTCGTCAATCAAAGTAAATATTTGTTCAGTTTCGACAAAACTATTCAAAACAATTTTGCTAATCGTTCGATGATTGCCAATGAATCGGAGTAATTCAGGGAATGGTATAGACACAGTGAGCTCTTCAAGTTGATCAAACGTCATCGGGATTTTTGATTCTGCGTTTAAAACATTTAATTGAATCGATAATCTCTTCACACTTGCTAAGTGTATTCTACCAGCATCGAAGTCGAGATCTCTATTTTCACCACGCCAAATGATTTTCAATGAATCTAACTCTGGTAAATCGCGAATAATTTCAAAAATCTCTGCATCCCAACAGTTATAAATAAAAATCTTCCGTAACTGTGGATTCAAACGAAGAACCGCTGCAATATTTTCGGCTTGAAAACTTGTTGATGATGCGCCAATCGATAACACCCTCAAATTGGGAAAATGTTGTCCGATACCCTTGGGATCAGATACTTTACAGTCTTCCAATCCTAGAAAGCGCAATTTGGGGAACAGCTCATTAAATTGTGTCAACTTGTTCTGCAATTCACAGTTGCATATTGCCACTGCTTCAATATTTGGGAATGTCTTTTCCATGTGTTCTTCACATCATTCAAAAGGGCAACTCCACATAAGGTTGCGGCACAATAATCGCTTACGTATCTATAAAGCTCGCTGTGACAAATTGTAGAAATTTTCTGATGGTCGATCACCAGATTCGAAATTATGTGGCCAAAAATGCGCAGTAATTGAAAACACATCTTCGAATGTTCAACCGCTATTTTTCCGCTAATTCTATATATGAAATGAATAGATGTATCTCGGAGAAACACACATGTGTTCCCATATTTCAGCTTGTAAAACCGTTCTGCTTCTGCTTTCAACGATTTACATGTGTCGGCCATGTTCAGTAGATCACCTAATTTCAAGTATTCGAATATTTTCTCAAGAAAATCAAATCCAAGGTCAACGAGAGTCACTGTACCACTTCCATCTTCATCATCGTCAGTTCGTGCTCTTTTTGCTGGTGGAGTTTGGTTGCTGTCTTCGTTAATTTGATCAGACATTTTGGGTGTTTGTGCAAGTCAAAAGGCTTTGAATATGATTTCAAAACGTTTTTTATAAGTCGAACTGTATTTCACAAAAATAATGTTTACCTTTCAAAATGTGAGTTATTTTTTATGAACTTTTCGAAACAAGATTTATCGTTCTTGTTGTAAAATTGAAGGCTTTCACTCCGGAATATTGTTCGAAAATCCCTTATGCTTTCTCTTTGAATCTAACAATAATGTTTTCTTCTGCTTTCAATATTTGAATAAATCACCAGAGATAATTTAAGCAACACGCGTTTCACCTTCAATAATCTGTTCACTACTGTGTTCAATGTACATTTTTCTGGTTATTTATAATGACAAAAAAAACCAAACAAACGACTTACAAAGCAAGAAAAATCCAAGCATTCTCAAATACTGATACCTGAATGTTTCTCGTTATTCAAGTAGATTATATCAGCCTACGTATGCCGTGGTTAGTTCAAAAGATCAGATTAATAGAAGATAGAAGTCATTTCCTGGTATACTTGAATTACTATATTTTGACTCATTAGTTGAGTAGATTCACGCCAAACCAAATATAATCCAGACAAAAATGTCATTTTTCGTCGAATCGAATCAGTATTTTCACACTCTAAACTACAATAAGTAACAATTTTTTCTAGCGGACTGTTCTTTCACAGAATTTTGTGATTATAATCCAACATACAATTGCCATCGATGACATGGACTACGTTCAACTGGAACGTCGGAACAACCACTATGACTGACGTCTCAACAACTTACCGCAATTGCTAAATCCACAGCGAAACTTTCAATTTCAAAACCAATCAGGAGGCAACGAAAGAACCAATGTAATTTCAATAGCAAACCAATTCACAATAATTCAATAACAAAGCCTATAGTATAGGTATAGGCCCTATACCCAAATCTAAAAAAAACGAGCTACTTTATCAGCAAAGAGTAGCGCATAATTTGTCCAGGACTCCAAAAGTGTCCAAAGTTTCAATCAAAAGCTCAGTGCTCCCAATCGATTTGAATGGAAGACGAAAATACAATTAGTAGAAAAACAAATAAAAATCACGTGAAAATATGGTTTTAATTTGAAATAGACGAAAATATGAAACAAATATGACAAAGTATTACTTATTGCGAATGTATATTAATGATTCTTCATTCACATTCACATTTCATGAAATACATTGTATTATTGACATTTATTGTGAATAAAGATAGCAAGAACATATATCGAACTTTCTAGCGATTTGTTTTTTCTATATATATTTTTGTTTCTTATGACAATTCGCAGCAATTTGCATGTAAGATAAAAAATTTTTTATTTGGGTTCAGCTTCTATAAAATAGATTTTTCAAACGGCTGTTGATGGCGCAGTTTTCAAATGAACGCGATTCGAAATCCGAAAAATCCAACCATTTTGAACTGCTATCGACTTCATTGTGTACGAAGGGGCACTAATAACATAGATACATCAAACGTCATTAGTCATCACATTTTAATGCGCAATAGCATTCCCATTGTTTTGTCAACACTCTCGTTCTGCTGACGACTAATTTGTTGTGAGGTTATTATTAATGATTAAATTCTAATTTCAAGAGTTTTTTTTTACAAAAATTACTCGTCGAATTTTTTCCTGCAGATGACGATATTGGACTTTGAATTACATTTGGAAAGTCACAGTATAACCAGCCCGAGCAAACGTCAAAATGGCTACACGAAAGTCACCTCGTATGAATGAGCCACCAGCCGAAGAAGGAAAAGTGAACGATCATCCAAACGCTGGCGCTGTTGCCGAAGACGTTGCCATCGAAGAACCAAAACCTCCCATTTTCAACCTCGTCAACGATTGCTGCTATGCAATTTTGGATTTCCTGTCATTGACAGATCTACGCTCATTTGGTCATACGTGCAAATGGGCCCAACAAATTGCTGCCAACTTCTACCAAATGAACCATTCAGCGATTGTAAATATGTACGGTTTCATCACTAAATGGCCCTGATGTCTTTTATCTCGAAAACACGCAAAAAATACGCATTTGGGGAAAGGACTTAGATCAATATCGCAACGCTAAATCATACTGCAATGAACCGATCAAGCAAATCCACTTGGGAGAAACCACAACATCATTTGCGAATGTCAATTGTCTCAAAAAGTTTCTACGCATAGTCGAACGTGTGAAACTGGATAATTGTACAATCAATGGCGATTTCTACAGAAATTTTCTCAAATTTTGTACCAACATGAAGGTACTTTGTGTTGCTTATGGATATCGTCGCAATCCGATTGGGGATCACATTTTGATTGGTGCCAACAATGGATGGTTGACTCGAAAATACCCGAACCTCAAACATTCGGAAGTTACTCGTGGTATCGCTCGAAAAGTCGATGAGCTGAAGACATTTTTCGAACAAAATCCAAACAAACGTAGCTTTGCCACTGACTCTACATTCTTTGAAGAGAATCGGGACTTGTTTAGAACGACAAACATCAAATTGGATACGTTGGCGTTTCGGTTTGATGGGTATTATTTCTCGGCCATTCATGACAACTTGAACTCACTCCATGGACAATTGGACATGGTGTTTTCCAACGATTGCACTGGTATAACAATGAGGTATCTTCTGATTATGTCGCGTCATTGAATGGGTTAGAAAAATTGTCAGTTGGTTATTGGCGTGCTAAAGATTGTGCTACCATTTCACCACTTTTGGTCAACATCAAAGAATTGAGAATCCGTTACCGTATTGGAGGGTCAACTATAGAAGCTACAGCTCGAATTCTGGTGAACCTCGAACATGTTTATCTCGGTGTACCAAATTCCGAAGTAATTGTGTCGCTCATTCGTCACTCAGCCAAATTGGAGAAAATCAAGGTCGAATATAGTGATCAATTACCAAATAGCACTAAAGACGGCCTTGATCTCGCGGCATGGAATAAGGAGCGTGAAAAATTGTCTGGAGCACGAAAAGTGACGATTTATGTTCCGGAAAACGTATACTTGGCAACAAAGTGGACAACGAGAGAAACGGACTACACTCTCATCCAGTTGAAACGAGGAAAGTCATACGATTGGAGCGAAAATTTCTTCGTTTTGTGATAATTTAGAAATAAATGGAGGTGTTCCAATAACAAAACCAATTTCACGAACTTCGATACTTCAAACTTCAATTTTTGCAGACATTCTTTGACAAAAGCGAGAACTTCCAATTTGGATCATTTATTTAGGAAATAATGTTCGTCATTTTCTATTACACAAATATTCAAAACCTATATAACGATTCAAATGATTTAATAACCACTTGTTCAGTTTGACTTTGTAAAACGTGTTCGGCTTGGAACATAATTATGTGCGTAATACATTTGTCATAATACATTTACGTTATATACGTAATATTCCGAATAAATGTGCTCAATTGTCTAGTGTTTACTTGATGTGTTCTTTTTCTTTTTGTTTACGATTGACTTTTTATCTCTTTGCGACATGTGATGTCATGTCGGATGTTTGCTTTGGAATTGATGAAAAATTCGTTTACATGGAGAAATCGAGTTAACAGTAAGTTGTCAGAATATATATCATAAAATGTTCAATTTCTTTTCACAAGAAAACCGGACGCATTCAGGACCATTGAATAGATTTCGTGCTTGTGAATCTTTCTCGTCCAAATATTCATCCTCAAATTTACGAACCGATTCTATTTGAAAAATCTAAAAAAAAATTCGAATCCAAAACCAACTTCATTTTATTGAGAGATAACCTCAAAATAGCACTCATCAAAAATGTCACACCTCAGCTTATTTCGAAACAATATTTGCACAGTCAGCACTCTCTTAGCTGTTTAACGCCTATTGAGGGTAAAAATTATAGCCAACGACTTTGATCAATAGAAGATAATTATCTTCAGAAAATCGAATAGAACATGATTTCTTGCTTTTTCAATCTATAGTTTGAGTATAATTCAACTCCCATAGAACGAACTTGCTTTTAATTGCGCACTTAGCAAGTTATTTTCGCATCGCTGACATTGCATAGATTTAAGGTAAGAAATGAATTTTATTGAGAAAAAAAATTACAATTATCCATCATTTAGTTCGTAGAAGTCATTTGTATTTAAATAAATCCAATAACTTTATTTTTCTGCTTTTTTCTAAACGTTCGACTCAGTTCCGACCAAGCTGACACAAGCAAACTACAAAATGGCTTCACCTCGCCTGAATGAACCACCAGCCAAAGCAAGAAAAGTAGGCGATCTACAAAATTCATTTGCCGTTCCCGCCGACGTTGCCATCGAAGAACCAAAACCGCCCATTTTCAACCTTATAAACGATTGCTGCTATGCAATTTTGGACTGGTTGCCACTGACAGATCTACGCTCATTTGCTCTAACGTGCAAATGGGCACAACAAGTTGCTGCCAACTTCTACCGAATGAACTACTTAGGAATGTATTGTGCGGTCAATTCAATAGGCCATATTTCTGGTCCCGCTATTTTTGATCTCGAACATACGCAAAAGCTACGCATTTGGGGAACAAACTTGGATCCATATCGCCACGTCAAATCATACTGCAATGAACCGATCAAGCAAATCCATTTGGAACAGACAACAATATCAGCCGCGATGGTCAATTGTCTCAAGAAGGTCCTACGCACTGTTGAACGCGTGACAGTGGCAGATTGTACAATCGACGGTGATTTCTATGAAAATTTTCTCAAATTTTGTACCAACTTGAGGGTACTTAGCGTTCGCTATAGCTGTCTTCGTAATTCAGTGTGGGATTATATTTTGATTGGAGCCAATAATAGATGGTTGACACAAAAATATCCAATGCTCGAATGTTTGGAAGTGATCGATCAAAATACACAAATCGTAAGGGAAATCGATGAGCTGAAGATATTTTTCGAACAAAATCCAAACGTTCGTAGCTTCACTACTAACTCTGTATTTCTTGAAGAGAATTGGGATATGTTCAGGACGACAAACATCAAATTGCATACTTTGGCAATTAAGTTGGATGGGGTTAGTGTGGCTTCATTTCGTGACAACTTGAACTCTCTGCATGAACGTGGTGTATTTCAACGCTTCCACTGGTATACTTATGTATCTGGTAAAGTATCTCCATTGAATGCGCTGGAGAAATTGGTCGTTACGTCTTGGAGTGCTGATATGTATTTTAACATTTCGACACCTTTGGTCAACATCAAAGAATTGAGCATCAGTAACTTTTATAAAGGATCCAATATGGAAGCTTCAGTTCGTAATCTGGTGAACCTTGAACGTATTTATTTTGGCTATCCAACATCCGGAACAATCGTGTTGTTCATTCGTCACGCACCAAAATTGAAAAAAATCAAAGTTGGCCATTGCTTCCATCTATGTAAAAACCCCAAAGGGGCTCTTCACCTTTTGACATGGAACAAAGAGCGTGAAAAGTTGGTCGAAGCACGAAAAGTGACGATTTATGTTGAGGAAGATGTTTACTTGGCAACAAAGTGGGCAACGAACAAAACGGACCATAATTTGATCGAGTTGAAGCGAGGAAGCTCATACAATTGGGACGAAGATTTTAAAACTAAATAAACTTAACATATTTCATACATCATACGACGATTCTTGGCAAGAATTTCTTGCAGACATTTGAAACGAAAACGGAAACTTCCAATTCAGACCATTTGTTTAGGAGACATTTTTTGTAGCTTTTTTTTGTGCACAAATATCCAAAAATTAAATAGGATTTCAAGTGATTTAATCACAACTTGATTTTTTTACGCAATATATGACTACAGTGTTTATAAAATTAACTTGTTTCACGTATTAATCTATGAATGAAATTTTCATTGGAATTATTTTGTTTTTTCTTCATTTATTTTTTTTGCTTAACATAATTTACTTCTTCTACTTTGAAAGGAAACAATTGCTTGGCTATTGATATCATATTGAAAGAAAAAATATATTGAAAATTTATTATTCATCCATTTCGATTATGTTTAAAAAGAAAATTGGACACTTTCAGGACCGTTGGATAAATGTCATACTGCACTCTTCTCGCTGTTTTTTTTAGTTCAAGCAAAATATGTACGTCCTTTGTTTCAAAATTAATTACCAATTATCCTTAACTAAATTTCTAACAAAAGTATTTTTATTTTATAAAATGGATATACATTTTTGCGATACAAAAAATGTATTCAAGTATTTGTCGTTAATTTTATGACAAATTTTATTTTTCGAAAATACGAAATAATTGTTTCAATTTTAAAACCAACTTCAGTCTGTTGACAACTAACCAAAACTTAGGGCCAATTAAACTCGAAATGTCATGCTTCAGTTTATTTCGCAATAGCATTTGCACTTGAATCATCCCTGTCTCTCTTGGTTATCTAGTATTGCACATAGAAATCAAAGCAAATAACGAAATCTCACTCAGTTTGGCACTAATCTTTGCAAATCTCGTAATTATCTTCAGAAAATCGAATCGAACTTGATTATCGTGTACAATCTATAATTTAAATATAATTTCAAGTTTTCGTCGAACGAATCAAGCCTTAGCTTTTATTGCGCATTAGCATAAGAGGTGATACTAGGTTTTGACGTATTGGTGAAATTTCATCGATTGAAGGTAAGAAATAAGTAATAAAATGTCAAAATAATCTATCAATTAACTCGTAAACTAGTTTGTATTCAAACAATTCCAATAATTTCATTTTTCTGCTTCTTTTTGAACTTGCGACTTAATTCATCCTTGAATTATGTGTCAAAGTTCAAACATCAATTAGTTCCAACCAAGCTGACGCAAGCAATCATCACAAAATGGCTACACGAAAGTCACCTCGCCTAAATGGACCACCGGCTAAAGCAAGAAAAGTGGACGATCAACCAGATGCTGGTACTGTTGCCGCCGACACTGCCGTCAAAGAACCAACACCACCCATCTTCAACCTCATTGACGATTGCTGCTATGCAATTTTGGATTGGCTGTCATTGGCCGATCTACGTTCATTTGGTCATATGTGCAAATGGGCACAACCAAATGAACCACTCAGCAATGGATTTTGTGGTCAAATCATCACGCCATAAATCTGGCCCTGATGTCTTTGATATCGAAAACACGCAAAAAATACGCATCGAAGGCATAAACTTGGATCCATATCGGCACGTCGAATCATACCGCAACGAACCGATCAAGCAAATCCACTTGGAAGATACCACAATATCAGTCAAGATGGTCAGTTGTCTCAAAAAGCTTCTACGCACGGTCGAATGTGTGAAACTGGATGGATGCACAATCAACGGCGATTTCTACGGATATTTTCTCAAATTTTGTACCAACATCAAGGTGCTTTGTGTTGGTTTTTGCTATGGTCGTAATCCGAATGGGGATCACACTTTAATCGGTGCTGACAATGGATGGTTAACCCGAAAATATCCAACACTCCAACATTTGGAAGTAAATGGTGGTATCGCTCGAAAAGTCGATGAGTTGGAAACATTTTTCGAACAAAACCCAAACGTACGTAGCTTCGCTACTAAGTCTGCATTTCTCGAAGAGAATTGGGACTTGTTCAGAATGATAAACGTCAACTTGAATGTGTTGGCGATTTGGTGTGACTACATTTCGTGACAACTTGAACTCCCTTCATGAACGTGGTGTTTGCCAACGGTTGCACTGGTATTGCAATGAGTTATCTGCTGAAGAAGATTCATTGAATGCGTTGGAAAAATTATCAGTTGGTTATTGGCGTGCTAAAGATTGTGCTACCATTTCATCACTTTTGGTCAACATCAAAGAATTGATCATCAGATTCTATCTCAATGGATCAACAACTATGGAAACAACAGCTCGTAATCTGGTGAATCTCGAACGTGTTTATCTCAATGTACCAACATCCGAAGCAATTGCGTCGTTCATTCGTCATTCAGCCAAGTTGGAGAAAATCAAGGCCGGATTTTGGAGGAATAGCACTAAAGACGGCCTTGATCTCGCGGCATTAAACAAGGAACGTGCGAAATTGGCTGGAGCACGAAAAGTGACGATTTATGTTGAGGAAGATGTTTACTTGGCAACAAAGTGGGCAACGGACAAAACGGACTACAGTTTAATCGAATTGAAGCTCGGAAGTTCATACGATTGGGACAAGAATTTCAACTCATTATATTAATACATAAATTAGAAATAAGTGAATGGAATGCGTTCCACTGACAACATAATTTCACAAATTTCGATATTTCAAACGTCAATTTTGAACAATATTTCAAAGTTCCAATTTAAATCATTTATTTAGGAAAAAATGCTCAACTTTTTCTGTTACATAAATGTCAAACAATTATATAACAATTCAAACGATTTAATCACCACTTGTGTATTTAAAGCTCGGTAAAATAGCTTAGTTTGAAACTTAGTTATGAGCTATACGCCATAATCCGGATAAATGTGTTAAATTGTTTAGTATCTACTATAATTGACATGGAATTGTTCGCGTTATTCGTGGAACAAAAAAAATAAAGTTCTTTGGAATTTTGGTGTTTTCTATTATTCGTTTATTAAAATGATGTCATCCTATTTAGATTGAAAATTGTTCTGCACATCTAATTATTACGTCTATGATTTTTGTACATTCTTTTCTGAAATCTAACAAATCAATTCGTTTCAATTAAAATTCTATTGGAACTAAAAGCATATTTTAATAGAATCTGTTTTACTCCAGTGGTTCTGATCAAATGATAAATTATTCTAACGTGATTCGATCACGTTACTTATTATGCAAAAAACGAAAACGATATTTTATCAAAATCTGTGGATATTTGTGGCTTCAAGTAATCTTTGCTTGGCAAATATATCCGAATAATTTCTGGAAAATCAATGGGGTTGAGATAGTGAAAATTAAAAAAAAATAAACTGCATGAAGAACTAAGCAGAGTCCTTCAGGGTGAATTCTCCATCGTAGCCATAAATTTGACTTTGTTGCAACTTGCAACAGTCTCTGCAATTCAGAATGGCTTCCGTGAGCATTCTTCAGTAGCATTAATTCATTATTTTTTTAATAAATTTTTTGTCGTAACAAAGACTTTGAGAAATGATTTATTTTTAATATCTAGTAAAAGTTTCCGTAATTTTTTTAAAACAATTCCGATATTAAGGACTATATCAAGTGTATCAGTTTTGAAAAAATGAAGATAAAGTTAGTTTTCTTGTCCACTTGTAATACGGCCAATGGTGTCCACTGTCCATTCAACGACGGACACTATTGACAAAGAACATTCAAATTACCATATTCAATCACGATAAATCGGCCTCAAAACCATATTATGAGAAATTGTTCCAAAGCAATTAGCTAAATTTGCTAAAGAAAATAAAGAGGTACATCACTATTCTTTCAACACAATTTATTCGAAAGACGCAAAATTGTAACATGTATCATATTTTGGTTGAATTGTCATTCTTTGTGGAAAAGTTTCAACTTTTTAAATTTGTGTGAAATTTTGTCGCCAAAAATTGGTCAAGTCATTTATTTTGCTTTTAAATCTAAATATTTTTTTATTTTTTTTTAGATATCGGAAAAGAACTCTTAACTAAAATATGAAAAGAAATGGAAAATAGGTCATAAATTGTAAATAAATTGAATAATGGGTAGGATATTGAGTTTGAATTTTGTCTGTGATCGCTATTGCTACTTAGCATAATGCTCAGAAAATGATGAAAAAATGCCATATTTTTCTTCGATTTGGTATCGTGTCTGCACAGTTTTCTTATGCTTCTATGCGATGGGTTTATCAACGACGATAGCAATGGGTTCATTAGTTGCGATTTTGCCTTCAGATTGATGGTTCAACGGTCAGAATCGATTGCTGCTTGTTTCACCTCATTTGGAATTTCCTTCTCCATCAAAGTTCGCCGATTCCTTGACGTGCATCAAATGCACAAATTTCTTGTGTTTACGTTGAAAGTGTCTGAGGAATAGATTTTTGTTGAATTGATGTTTACATCGATGGCATTTCACTCTATGTGCGTCTTTATGGCCAACCCATTTTTGTTCGCCACGCTTTGGATCGTTGACCAACAAGAGGCTCTCAAACAAATCTTGACGTTCTTTAAACATCGGATGATAGGTTCGTTTATGCTCATCTTGCTTCTGCTCAGCGAGTATAACATCACACACTTTGCATTGAAACATTTTCTGGGTGGCCTTGGTGAAAATGTACATCCCGGGTCGATATGGAGTTTCCGGATGGAATTTTTCTTGGTGCTTTAGACGATGTCGTTCAGGAATTTCAGGCTTTTTGCAAAGAAGACAATCAAAAAACTTTCTGACGTCGTCCGGCTCTATTCCCTTGGCACCGTTGTCTTCATCTTCTGCTGGCTCATTTTTTTCGGGTTCGTCTTTTTCGTCTGTTCCCACCAAATTCAGCCTCTTGACCTCTTCAATCGGTATCATTCCAGCGTCGTCCTCCTTCTTTTGTGCGTCGATCGCCAAGGATTTTATGTAAGATTTCTTCAAACGTTTCGGATGATAGACTTGCATGTGCTTAACAAAGCTTTGGTGATGGACTTTGTTTTTGCAGCACACGCACTCGAACTCTGTTGCATCTTTGTTGTTTGACCAACTCTCCAGACCTGAACTTATATCGCGAGTTAAGTACAGAGTCTCAAACAAACCCGAAAACGATTTGAACATTGGATGATTTTTTTCTTGATGCAAATCTCGTTGTGAACCATCGACGATGTCAAGACAAATTTTGCATTGGTATTGATGTTGGATCGATTTAGCCAATGTGTATCGGTCCACTTGATACAGAATGCTTCGATGGAATTTCTTGTGATGGCGGACCAAATCTATTTCGGGAATTCCCATCGTTTTGCACATAGTACAATCGTAATAATTGGTTGAGCTTGAATCCTTTGCGGTTGCCTGAAATTAAAATCACAAAAATCCCATAATCATGGACTAAAAACTAACCTCAATTTCATTTTTAACTTACGAGACTTTGTTGAACGGCAAACATATTGTTGATGCCTTGCGGCTCCAAAACTGGTTGAACTGTACCCATGTGAGCATTGGCAATATTGTGTTCCTCTTTTGGCGTTTTAGTCGCAATCGGTGGCATGTTAGCTACTTCTTCTTTCTTTGGTTGGCGATAGAACGGCGGCATCGAATGAAACGGTGGCTGAGGAATGGGTGCGGTACTGAACGATGGCATCGAACAAAACAGTGGCTGAGCAATGGGTGTAGTATTGAATGGTGGCTGAGGAATGGGTACCGTACTGAACGATGGCATCGCACAAAACGGCAACTGGGCAATGGGTATACTATTGAATGGTGGCTGAGGAATGGGTGCGGTACTGAACGGTGGCATCGAACAAAACGGTGGCTGAGCAATGGGTGTAGTATTGAATGGTGGCTGAGCAATGGGTGCCGTACTGAACGATGGCATCAACCAATCTGGATGATTGCGTTGGATGTGTTCCATGAAGCCTTTTTGATGGACTTTTGTATTGCAGCGTGTACAATTTACCTCTTTATTATTGGACCAATTTTCCACACCCAACTTTAGATCGCGCGTAATATTCACACCATCGTACAAACCCGTGTGCGTTTTGAACATTGGGTGACTTTTCCGTTGATGCTCCTCTCGGTCCGGACCATCGATTATGCTTCGACACACTTTGCACTGGAAGTGATTTTGCATGGTTTTGGCCAATGTGAACTGGCCCATTTGATACGGAATGTTGCGATGCCATTTCATATGATGTTTGAGCAATCTTGATTGACTGATCCCTTTTCTGGTACACAGAGTACAGTCGTAGTAAGTGTTCAAACTTAGATCCATTGCACGAAACAAAAACTGAAAATACAAGGGAAACAAGCGAATAACAGGACTGATTTTACGTTCGGCTTACAAGGTTATGTTCATACAGTATGACTTGCTCATGTTGCGCCAGCTTTGACAGATATTGTTGACAGCTAAATTGTACCAAATTCAAAACAATGGTTTAGTACTGTACGCAATGTTTGAAAAATAGCGGAAAGATATACAAAGGTGGAATTTCTACCACAAAAAGATGAAGGAAATTCTGAATGGAAAATTGTTATTGTGAAAGGAGATTTCCCGAAAATAAAAATTGAATTCATGTTGAAAAAAATGATTGCGTGAAGTAGATCACTTTTTAGAAGAAAAAAACTCTGGTTTGGAAATTGCTATCGCATGATCTAATCGAAGCGGCTCTATAATTGAATTGATTAGTTAACTCAATTGATGATTAGTCATTGACTAATAGTCAATTTTCATTCCAAATTATGCTGTTGAGTTGAAACTTTAACCAGAAACCAGTAACCAATCCAAATGTCCAGTCATTGGATAAAGCCACTTACCTTATTGAATCAAAACCATCTCAGTTGAATTGGAGTCAATACGTTTTTCATCTACTTCATTTCAAAAGAAAATAAATTGTAACAAAATATGTTTCGGTCGAATGATTACATTCAATCAAACGTCGTGATTCAATCACATTATTTATTTTTTGTTCAAAATAACAAACATTTTACGAAAAATGTGGCGAAATTGGTTGTTCCAAAGAGACATGCTTGAAAAAATTTATGAATAGAAAAGTATGATTTGAACATGTTCAAAAATATGAAAAAAGAAATCCAAACTTCATGAAGTGAGTGTGTTTATTCCAACTATGCAGAATCCTTCAGAATTAACTCTCTATTATGACCATAAATTCGATTTTGTTGCAACAGTCGTTGTAATTCAGAATTGCTTACAGAGATTGTGAAAAATGCTTGCTTTTCATCCGGGGCCTGGTTTCCTTTGACTGCATCGACTTCCACACCTTTTGTTCCGATGTTTTCTTTCTGGTTTATGTTCGATTGTGCATAAGAACAATGCAACTTTTCCGGATGAAAAAGTTCAAAGTGTCGCAGAAAATGACTTCGGCATATGTTGATTCGGCAGTGTTTACACAGCGCTGTTTTTGCGTCCTTTGTGTGAGGCCACTTCTCTTCACCGCTAGTTGGTTTATAAGTAACATGGAGTAGCTCGAATAAATCACGAATGAAAACAAAGTTTGGATGATTTCGTTGACGGTGCTCTTCTCGATTCAATTCTTTGACTATGCTGCTGCAAATGTTGCATTGATATTCTTTTTTCACCGTCTTCTCCAAAATGTACACGTTGGATTGAAACGGATGATTTGGGTGTTCCTCTGTTTGGTGCTTGAGTAGATTTACATCAGCTATCAGCCGTTTATTTTTGCAAAGAATGCAATGGAAAAATGAAATGCCTTGACCCTGAGGCAACATTTGATCGGTGTTTGATGCGCTGGCACTGTTCATTGATTCGTCTTTTCTTTCTTTGGTCGGTAAACTTGGCCCATTGGCTTCTTCAATCGGTATTGTCCCAGTTTCCTCTTCGGTTTTGGTCGATCCGATATCATTTTTCTTCTTTTGTCGTCGTTTTTCCTTACGGTTTGACTTCTTGCCTGGGCAAGACAAAACTTCTGAACAATCCAGATGTTTGCGATTGTCCATTGGTTCATCTTTTTCTTCTTTAATCAATAATCTCAGCTCGTTGGCAGCTTCAACAGGCATCAATTCCGATTGTGGCTCTTCTTTAATAAATCCGATGTTCAAAATATCGAATGCGGTGTGTGGTTCTGCTGGACGCTCGTCATTGGCACAGCCATCGTTGATGGTATCATCTTTTTCCTTTTTGATATCCTCAAGTGGTATCATTTCAGTATCCTCTTTCTTCTGTCGTTTTCGTTTACGGCAGGCTTGTTCTTTTTTTGCCTCAGCTGATGTCAATTTCTGTGGATGTGTGCTTCGGAAGTGTTGAATGAAGCGGTTGTGTTGTACTCTGTTTTGGCAAAGAGGACACTTCACAGTCTCGTTTGAACATACGCTATTGGGCCACTTCTTCCACAGCATGGTAGCCAGATCTTCCATCATCCACACAGCCTTGTACAAAAACCGATGGTGCTTAAACATTGGATGCCGTCTGAGTCGATGATTTTCGCGTTCCGAGCGATTGATTATTTCACGACAAACATTACACTGGAATCCTTTTCGTCGGGTTTGAACCAATTTGTACAGGTCTTTTTGATATGGAATCGTTGGATGCCACTTTATATGATGTTTGAATAGACTTTTTTCAAAGATTGACTTTATTTTGCACAGAGTGCAATCGAAAAAATTCACCGTGTCGTTGTCCATTGTGACGAATCAATGAAACAATGTGCAATTTTGCGAGGTTATGTTGATCCGTATGTTTGGCACTATGTCGGTTTGACAAATGCTTGACAGATAATGTATGCCAACTGCAGAGCATTGTACTGAATAAAATGAACCGTTCATTTATGCGAAGAATGATTTAGTTGAATGGAAGAAAATTTTAGCAAATGAAAAATTGTGAAATAGATTTCAATTAATAAGGTATGAATGTAAAATACCTATGGCTAGAATAATTTCCATAGTTGAAGAAAAAAAACTATATGCACCAAAAAATAAAGAAATGTTTATACACATTTTTGTAATAATTATAGCCTTACAAAATAATAATGAGAAAAACATCTTCAAAAGTTCATATTTTTCAAGTATTAAAATAAATTGATTAAAATGAATACCATTTGAGTACGACTCAACAGTTTGAAATTCCTTTGAAAAGTAATTCTTCATTATAAAATAACAAATCGATTACCTCTTATTCAATTAATTTTTTTGAATTGAAACAATTGTTCTAGCAATAAGAAAATTGTGAAAAAACAATCCAATTGAAAAGGTATGAATGTAATAGGGGGTAAGTGACTGTTCTCCTCCGTTTTTGTCCGTCCGTCCGTCCGTTTGTCCGAATCAAACGGACATTTAGCAAACGGACAAACGGACGGAC